TACTCTAAGCAATACAATAGGAAGGTACACAAATGGAATAAAATTTTTAGCGCTTTTTAGCGCTCGGCCTTTCAGGAATTGGGTCCAGAAGACAGAAGCTTTGTGCTTTCTACTCATTCCCTTTGTTTTTTGGGCTACTTATTCAAATCTGCTCAGCGAAGCTTTATCAAAGTTAAACTCAAACGATAGGTGGGACCGCAAGGTGTCTACCTTGCCAGATCTTACGAGTGCGTCTCTGAAATTCCGACCTTCACCTTCAAGCGATGTTCATCTCCCGTGGATATGACTAGCTCAAGATGAATAACCAAGGTATGTATTTCTCAAATTATATATTTCCATAACTTACATATGTGAGAATGAATTGACTGAATAATACAGAGTTCTCAATGAGTAAGTGGGCAAAAGTGTCAGGTTGCTTTATACCAGTTGTCAAGATTTATATATCCGTGGTTTAATCGATCAGTGAAAAGAAAAATAGACAATGTTTTTCATTTACACTCAATAGAAAAAAAGAAGGATTGGGTTCAAAACCAATCCATGAGGTACGCCAATTTTTTTAAATCGGTTTTTCTTGAATTTTGCTATGATATTCAATTAATAGTTGTAAATTTTCAAGCCATTTTAGTGTGATTATTCTTATCTAATATTAATATTGCAATGGAGTGATCAATGGTTCATAGGCTCTCGATACGTCTAGGAAATCCCTCAGTTAGTATATTTTCTATTAACTTCGTTTTCTGTTAAAATTTGATCATCTACGTCAAAAGTTTTATTTTTCTAAGTATATATAATTATATTTTTTGTCATAAAAAACATGGAATTTGATCTGTTAATCTTTTATGCATTAATTTTCTTTAGGTACTTTTAAAAAAACAAGACAGGAAAGACACAGGTCTATAATTTTGAAAAAAGAGAGTTGTCTTCATTTTTTATACCCTGGTTTGCTTAATGAACTTTTTAAACTCGCTGTCAGGAAAGAAACTAGTTGAAAACAAGCGTAAATATTCGAGTCGCTTTTGATAAAGTTTGTTATTTCTCGTACTACTTTTTTAGACTAAAAGCATCGTCATCAGTCGGCATATTTGGATTTGGAGGAAGTAATTCTTTCTCTGCTTCCTCCTCTGTATCAGGGTCCCTAATATTCATCATCCCTTATTCCTTGTTTAGAACGCTTATAACTTTGTTATTAAGAAGACCCATGTCTAGCCTGTGTCAACGTTTGTTTGTATCATCTTTTTGGGTCATTCTGAGCAGGTGTGAAGTTTATTTTTGTATATACCTTCTAAATTCAAATTTATTCCCAGCTGTCAAAGACTTGACTGACTTTTGGCACAGTTTGTGTTTTGCTTTAGAGATTGTAGTCCTTTGTCAACCAATGTTTATTTTGCATCCTCTTTTCTTTCATTGTAGAAATTTTCACCGGAAAGCTGCTTCACTAAATACGAGTTACCGCTAACCTTTCTTGCAATAAATTCATGATTCATTTGGGCCATCAAGCGTATATCAGTCTAAGTCCAGTTTTCTTTCTCTATTAAATCACTGCAGAGAATCTCCGTCAATCAGGTCATCATCATTTAGTCTTTATATTAAGATATTGACTATGAATGTGTACTTCTATGTTGTTCTTTACTTATTGATTATACGTGGGTAAAAAAAGAAATTGACGAAATAAATAGATTTAGAATATTTGGAGTTAAGGCAATTTGGTTAATTTTCAATAAATCTATTCAAAGCTCTCCCATCAAATAACAGTTTTTCCTCTTCTTGTTAATTTTATCATTACAAGTAATTCTCGGGGGCGTAGCTACCTGTACCCACGTAAGATAGCAATCAAAGAAGAAAAAAACAAATTAGAAGTAAAATAGACGCATGAAAGACAGAAGATAAGGGATAGCTGATAACAGCACAAAAGACGTAAGTCATGAAAATTCGCTTATCTTTAGTTAGGTTATCAATTTTTCCAAACAAAAGACAATGATTTTTGGAACCTTTGGTTTCCCACAGAGAGGAGTTTGTAGCGGATGCTATAGCTTAGGCAAAGGGCGTAAAATTAGGAAGCGAGGGACAGCATTAGGTCAAGTTAACTGTCGGGGAACTTTTCATTATTGGCCAAGGGGCTTACTTAAAGTAGCTAGCTTTTACTAGTTACTCTAAAATAATCGCATAATTATTCATCCATTTTTGCATCAGGTCTTCTCCACATTTAAATGGTTGTGCACGAAAGAGAATTTTCTCACTGAAAAGCCTTGATGGACGAGAGAAGGGGGTTCTTCCAATGGCATATCAAAGACGCCTAATATATTTAAAATCGTGCGCGGAAAAATGTGCCAGCGCCGTCCTCTGGCAAAATCCTCTCCAGGGATTTGTCTCTTACAATATGAATTTGATTGGATAACCTAGTGAGTTGTAACCTCAGCTTTCGTTGGAACTCTTGATCCGCATTTTTGCTTTGTGTCCAAAGGATTAAACAATCCTTAGTGATCTAATAGACTGCTAATGAGTAGGTTTTTTTTAATTTACGTTTTCGGGCCATCCACAGAAAGAATAAGATTACAATCAAATAACTATATATATATTCTTTGTCATCATTAAGTTGACTGTTACGCATCAGTTATGAAGCTACCGTACGTACTCGAATAAGCGTCGTTAACAAAAGCCTATTAACAAATATCAAACTGATATATGAAGTCACCAAGCGCTGTTGCTGGGAGGGTTTGGCGCTTATTCGAGTGCAGCGCACTTTTAGCAGTAAACACGGTAATGAACTATATTCTTTGAAATAAACTGTAGTTGTCACTTTGCGCCGTAATTCATGTTCATTAGGACAAGACCGTAAAGTAATGGAGTAATAACTACAAATAGATATCGTGACTTTTTAAAAGGGCAGTCGATGGTCATGCTAAAAACGGTGCGATACCTGTTGTTTTTGATCAAATATTTTTTATTAATACGCGATAAACTGGCGCCGCCAGTCTTTCTGTGTCTCAATTTCAATTTCTAATTACTCACTTACCTATTAACTCTATCTTTGCGTTTAAACTGTCATGGATATTTGCGTCATCGACCAAAACATTGAAAAAAACATTCTCACAGGCCTAGGTTTTCGGACAATCTTGTTTTAAACAGTTAAGAACTAAATGGGAACGCTCTTGGTCAGGTCAAACCAATGATGAATAAAATTTGAGGTAAGTAAATTGTCCATGAAGCCTACTGGCAGATGAAAGGTAAAAATAGCCGCCTTCGTGATTATGAGTATTAATACCGTCAGCCTAAGATCAGTTTTTAAACAGGCTTAAATTAAAGTTTCTCCTTTGGCAAAACCACTCCTCAAAGTATGTTTGCTACCTGAATCCTGAATGGACATAAATAGTCTCCTTGAAAAGCGAGTTTTAAACATGTAGTACATCTTTTCTAGTTCTCTCTTTTTTCTGGTCGCACAACTGGTACTTGCATTGGCTGGAGTTTGTAAATCTTTCCTTTTCGATCTTTTGTCCGAAAATAATGAAGCTGCAGCAATTTTGGGCCGGCTATTTCTCTGGCTCTCAAAAATACATAACTTTAAAACCCAAGTATTTTCTTCCCGGTTGCGGTCCGTTATTCAAGCTGAGTTTCTTTCATTTAACTTTGGCACTCGTTAAACCTTGAGTACCAAAAAAGCAATTTCCCATGTTTTTTGAGCCAGTGGTTTGACACAAGGCCTATAAGAATACTCGAACGCACTTACTTAAGCTATAATCACAGTAAGTGCACAGTACCAGAACGAGGCAAACTTACAGAGCACTGTGACGAATTGAATGTGCAGTGAGTCGCGCGCCAAATAGTTAAATCCAGTAGATTAATTCCACTCAGAGGATGTTCTACGACAAAAATAAATGCAATTTTGAGATCTAGGTCAAGCGTAATACTGTAAGAATTTTTGTGGCATATACTCAATTTAGGATAAGTTAACTCAAAGTGTTAAAGGTTTGAACCACTAGTATCAACGACACTTTAGAAAGCTGGTTTACTATCTTAGAACAAACGCCACTGTATCGTAGTCAACAGTCACCGGCACCGTACAAACGACTTATTGACGAAATCAAGCAAAACTAACTACGCGAGAACGACTGGACAACTGACAATTTGACTAACAATAAACGACTGTTTAACTGTGACAATAGACGGATCGAAACACACCAATAAAAATAACGAGTCTTCAGAGCCAGTAACATCACAGCTTAACTGAAAGACAACCAATAACATCGCGACTTAGTTGACCAATCAGATCAACAACCAGAGTTAAATACGATCAACTGACGTGATACAACTTACTTTGACTCTGAAGATGACTACCGCACAGGTTGTCGAAACGTCAGTCACTGTCAACAGCAACATTCCTACTCAGGATTACCTTCACCTGGACGATCATACTCAACCTACTTATTAACGCTGTGTTTGTAAAATTAATGAGAAATTATATTATCTGTTTGATTCTTTTTATTAAGAGGCAGCTTGTTCAGGATGTAGATAAAATACATCTTAAAACTTTAACGTATAAAAAGGGGGTAACAAGACCAAATATATAACTACCGTATCTATAATACAACCTAAATGGTGAGGAGAAATTAGATAGGAAAGAGACATTTCTTTAAAAAATCGTTTATTTACGCATTGCGCTCAGTTTTATCAATATTCAGTTCTATTTCTTTCTCGCTTTCAGCTCCGCAATCGGGGTTAAGAGCATCTCATTTACTGCAGCTTAAACTAATTAACTGAGGAGCCAAAGCACGGTAAACTTCCTGACACCATCAACTTGACGCCATGTTTGTCAAATAAATCACTGCACAAATGTTACGATAAAAAAAGGACGCCCACTTACACTGAAGGACCAGTCTCGGCAGAGAACTCTCAACAGTAGCACATCTTTAAGATATATAACATGACGTGGAAACGTATAGCTTACCATGAACAACAGTTCTGAACCCAACCCAACCACTACAGGGACCGACAAAGTACCAGCCTTTCCTCCCTCTTTCGTGTATCCAGTGGCGACGTGTCACATCTTAATTGTCGCAGTGGCAGCCCTCGGAAACCTCATAGTTTGTTACGTAATAATCGCTAACAAAAGTCTCCGAAGCAGCCCAACAAATTTGTTCATTTTCTCGTTGGCGTTCTCGGATCTTCTTACTGTAACACTAGCAGTGCCATTTGACATAGAAGGCCTTTTCCTTAACTGGGCTTGGAAACATGGAGAAATGATGTGCGAGGCGTGGATTACCGTTTACCTTATCACTGTACCCACGTCCATTTTGACCCTTTTGGCCTTGAGCGTGGATCGTTACAAGAGTCTTGAAGATCCCTTGAATCGATTTCGCCGCTTCCGATTCATGACACGAAAGAAAGCTTTAATCGTCATTTCTGTCATCTGGCTTTACAGTTTGGTTTTTGCTTTACTTCCCGTCTTGGGATGGAGAACATATGACGAGTTTGTTTATAAGGGAATCTGCTACTTTCCTTTCACAGAGATTTACTCTACTCTCAGTTCTTGTTTAAATTTTGTTATCCCATCACTAATCACATGTGGTATTTACATTAAGATTTACGTCATAGCCCGCTCTCAGAGCAGCGCTTTTGATAAAGAGATCTCACGAAAAATGCTTTCAACAGAAGCCTGTTCGCGAACACTGCGTTCTAGTAAAGAAAAGAGAGTTTATTTAAGAAACGTCCAAGCGGCCAAGACTATTTCCATCTTTGTAGCCGTGTTTTTCTTTTGCTGGGTTCCTCACTCTTCCATTAGCATCACTGCCAATCTTTGTAAATCATGTCAAGCTAAAATCCCAGATGAAGTTCGAGTTATATTTGTGATGTTTGGTTACCTAAACTCTGCCCTCAACCCATTTCTTTTCGCCTTTCGAAACAGAAGATTTAAGAAGCAATGCAGAAAGAAACCACCCGCCCAAAACAACCAAGAGGAGCTGAAAACATGAAACCGGTTCTCTCTAATGGAAGCACCTTAAATCACCTCGGCTCGGGTAGATCCTTTATTTAACAGATAGTTAATCATCAAGAAACACAGTATTCATGCTGGATTTACTCTGGTTAAATTAAGTTTGGAAACTGTTTTCGTGGGTTAACTTCATGCCCATGGTGATTTGTACACTAATGACTCTCTGCTGGTTGACTTGTTGCCTTTTTAATGCTCAACGAAGCAGATCTTATAAATGGACAAAATCCTCTTTTCCGAGCACTTCTCTTACGTTTTACTAACTAGCCTCATAAGACCACATAATATGGTCAACAGCATAATTCCTTTAACAGCCCAAAAATATCATGCAGAAATTCACTTGCAAGCCGCTTAGCTTCAATTTTTTTATTTGCCAAAAATTGGTCGTAGCTGAGTGGAGGGGCAAGGGGGCAGATGCCTCCCCGCCTCCCCCCCACAAAAACAAAACAAAAAAAAGTTGAAATAAAATTGTCTTTTTCTGAAGTGTTGAGCAGAAAATCTGAAATTTGTTGAAATCTTTGCGAAGTTTACAAAGATAGTCACATTTCGAAAACATTCGTTCAAGACAATAAAACAGATACGTTTTGAATAAACCCCGTGATTGGGGATTGAAATGATGGCTCAGGCTGTTAGAAACACTATAACGAAAACCACGTACTGCTAACATACAGCGACATCATGCTGAAAAAAATTGGGAGGCAAACAGTGTGTATTGTGGGGGTTCGAAAATAGAGAATAAGTGACAGTGTTCTTTCCATTTGTTTACCATGCATGTGGTCTAATAAGTCGCGCCAGATTCTCACAAAGTCATCAAGGTTTGATACTTGTAGACAGACTGTCTATGGCAGTGAGCATTGGAATCCGTAATCAAAGTGAAATTATCAATTATTACAAGAAGTTCCCCACTATTCAGGAATCCACCAATTTGTCAGTTGAGATGAAAAAGTGGAAAAAGAACTATGAAATATTCCCTTTGAAGAACGTCCTGCAACTGCGGGAAATTCAGCCTTCAGCCTATTCAGACATTTCCAGCCATTCACAAGATCCGTACTATTCTTCTTACTAAACCCGTGGGAATTGTTCTTCCGAACGCTCTTTTCCTCAAATCTCAAATCTAAAGAAATTATATTAAACTCTTGAGGTCACGAGTCGGCCCGACTTCTTGTTCATCCGTTTAGAACAATTTAACTGGTTATAGGATCACAGGATGGATTATAACCTGAGAATATCTACACCATCATGAAAAGTTATTTAACTTCATATTGACGTAACCCACAATGCAATGGCTGAGTGGTAATACTATGTTCATACTGAAGTAAAGTAATGAATAAAGAACAAAAACAACAACAAAAAATAAGTAAATAAAAAACAAATAGAATGATTTCAGTTGCTCTGGCTCCTCCTTTCTGCAAATGAACTCAATAACTATTTTCAGTCCTGCTGTGTTCAAAAATCGATAAACTCTTTCTGTTTTAAGATCAGAACAGACCCATATTACAACTGCTTTTTGTAAGCCAGTTCATTTCGAGAAAAAGTAGTCCCTGCTTGGCCAGCCAAAGTTAATTGGCTCTTATAAGGTCCTAGTTTTACGAAGCGTGACTTTAATTTGCGGCGTTGATAACTGATTTAATTTTAAAGAGAAATTTTAGGGGTTCCTGTAGCGGTAATTTTAGACGCAATAGTTTTTGCTAATTCTATTGCGACTTTAGGAATCTTTATGTAGCGATTTCTGTCATGTCTGTAAGCTCCCTGTAGGCCCGGGAGCTAAGAAAGCACTTATCGTCGAGGGTAGAAGCGGAATCATTTCAATCTTGATATTCATGATTCCTGTCGTTTTTGCCTGAATGATTCATGTTTCCTACAAGAATTTTCCTCCAGATTCATGATTCACGAAGGCTTCTGAACACCTATTGATTTAATGATTTTCTCAGGGGCAACTTAGTCTCCCAGTTGTATTTTTTGGTGTTCAAACTTCTGCTTCATTCAGACTTGGTATCATCATTCGTTTTGCCTTGGCATGGAGTTTTTTGTAACTGAACATTAAGCACAAGGTTATTGAAGAAACAAGCGGACTGTCAGCTCCGAATGCACTAATTATATAGGGGGGTTCGGTGGCATGTTCCCGGAAAAGTTTTTGAAAATTGGACTCTCGGAAACGCCATATCCTGCCTTCCCTGGATCGAACGCAATTAATTCATACGTGTATTTTGTTGAGCTTTTCTCAGAGTCTCGTTATTCATGATTCCCGAGCCGAAGTACAAAGATTCAAGATTCTTACATGTTTTGTAACTATGATTCATGATTCATGATTCCGCTTCTACCCCCGATTATCGGGTTTGTTAGCCCTCACGCCGAGACAGGCTTTTGATATCGCCGCTGGTTTACAAGCTCAAACTGTCGTCGCTGAAAATGACTTATTTATCCGTAGATTTTACAATGCAACTCTGCCGTAAACAATTACAATAATTTTTGCATCCTTTCAACTAGAGTTATGAATGAAAGAATGAATAACTTTAATGAAACAGGGTCAACTCATCAGGACTTAAAACACTATTTCTAATACGAATCTAAAACTACTATTAATAATAAATTAACATGATTAAAAAAACAAACTTACTTAGACCAGAGTCTGCTTTACATAAGAGCCGTGTAGATAGACTTTTAGAAGAATTGTTTATAGCCAGTCCTGAAAACCCAAAGAGAGTTCGACGTTTTGAATTATTTAAAAACCAGTAAATTCAAAAACGTATTTTGATAAGCACTTTAATCTATAACTTGTTCCGAAACGTTTTTCTACCTCGCAGTGTACAGTAACCTCTCCTATTTGTAAGCCCTCCTAAAACCCCTTACGAAGATGTATGAGACAGTTTATGGTACGCGGAATAACAAGATTTTCCTACTCTGAACAGGGCCAGTCCAAAGTGTATGACGTTTTTGATCATTATTATTGAACATAGCCTGCGGACAAAGACGTATAAAATGACTTCAAATACTATATTGTTCAACCCAGCCAAAGGAAAAAGTCGACAACACAATTCCGTTAAATTAGAATTAACAAACAATTATGAATAAGCCAGAAAAAATGAAAATATTACTATAATTTAGACCTCTTCTTGAGAATATCTTGCATTTAACTTTAAACGCACTTCTTCCAAGTTTGATAAAATTCTTGAATTCTCAAACCCTTTCGCCTTTCTGCTACTCGATTTGAGATCCCACCCTTTAAACAGTATAAGGCCTCGGAAATTTCTTTCGAATATGGCTCCAACGCTCAAGCAACTGAAAAAGACGCATAGCATTTTTGTATGGCCGGGCAGACTTCGTGTAGCTTGTTCCAGGCGTTCAGATAGTGGGGAGCGGTGCGAAGTAATCAAAGAAACAGGGGCACACAACGTCAATTTTCGGAAAATATCTGTTCGGAAGACGATTTGAGATCTATAATTTTCGGAACATTTGTTGTAAAATTTCTTGCTTGCCAGCCTCTCCTAGGATTTTCGAACATCTTAAAACTGGTATAATTGCCCATTTTTAACGGATTTTTACCCTAAAAAGGTCACCTAGAATTTTCGGGAGCCTTTTTTTGGGCTGAAATTTTCAAAAAGGTAAGTTTTGATCCCTATAATTTTCGGATCACTAGACTTTCAGCTAGGAAATCCGAACAGATGAAAAAGTTTTAGGGGATAAAAATATGCATATATCTACCGTTTAAATACTAAAATACGTTTAACAATGCTATGTTTAAGTGGTTTTGAACTATATTCTCGTTGGGTGCCCCTGAAGAAAGACTATCGTCAACTCGTGGGACCGTTGTTTAGAAAATGATCAAATGGTTATCAACTCTGGTTTTCCCTCAGTAAATTGTAGGAAATGAAAGAAATTCAGATTGTTTATCCCTGTACAATATATTTAATATACCATCTTTGCTCTGGAAACACAATACTAACAGTTATTTAGGTACGTATTAATAGAAAAACAACAAAACAAATAAGCAAACAAAACAAGACAAAAACGGGAAAAAAAAAGAAAGAAAGAAGATTAAAAAAGAAGGGTACATAGCAGGGCTTGATATCGGCACCTTCAGCTATTTGCGACTTTACTTTACCACTACACCACGACGACTGATTATGTCCCTGTGGCGAAAACTTTTTAATTTAATGCGTTATCCATGGCGTCCGCCCGCAAATTCGTTCAGTATGATCGAGCCGCATTAACCGAGCTTTTGACAGTAAAAAAACAATGTCAACGTATTTCATGGCAACGAATGAATAAAATAACATGTGCTTTACAAAGCTGATACACCTCGTCAGCGAAGTTGGAGGCAAAACATATGTTTTCGTATCTCGATTTGTGCTGTTATTTTGAAGCTAATGGTCAAAATCACATCCATTTTCGGCCCATACAGGTTATTAAGAATAGCATGGCATGACATTTTCTTACTTTCAGATCACTTGGCAGCCAGCTGGAATTTGTATATCCCCCGTGATCTTTCGGAGTCAGAAGAGTAATTGCTCAGTTTCTCGTCAAGTTTAACGCCTGGACGAGTCAAAGGCTCTTGAAATCCAATCCCCAAGTTAACCATCATATTCATTTGAAAGACTCCTACGTGTCTTAAATTTGGTAAGACCTCTAACCGTGCTGTAGAAAATTTCCACAAAGAAAACTCTGAGTCAGAGCATCGAACGCCGAACGATGCAAGCTCTCAGCGAAGAATTTGATCCCACCGAACTTCGGAGAGCGCGTGCTTCTTCGGAAACGATAGATCTTCGCACTCTCTAGTTCGGACCCGATTAATTACAAAGTCCGTCTACTACGAGTGAGCGAGTGACTCAATTGCATATCTCTGTCCCTGCAATAACTCGTGGTACGCTCGCGCGTCCCCACGAGTTAAAAAGGAGCGCGAAAATATAAACGAGGGAGGGGAAGTTCCCCCTCTACTTCTCATCGTTTCTTTACTTCGCCCCACCCCCGACTCTCTGAACGCCTTCTGGAACAGGCTAGACTTCGTGGAAATGACATTCCTCAAAAGCTTTTGTACTTGCTCCTTTCCTGGCTTCTAAATGCATGCACGACGGCCAAACAGCAAATAGTGAAGAGAGATAATTAAAAAGAAAACACGGAAAAGAGGTATTCCTCGAAAAAGCCCGTTCTTGACGGGTCCTAATCCCGTTACTAACTGAGCGCGAAGGCTATATTGGGCTGGGGGGTACTCCCATACATTACCTATACGGGTATGTGCCGCCCAACGGGGTCGTGATTTTAAAGCCCCTGGTTTAGAAAGGGGTATCCATTTCAGAGGCTTTTTCTAGAACGGGGTATAATATTTCGAACGCATGAAAGCTCCAGTTTTGTAAGCAGCCATTTGAAATTATTCAAGGACAGATTGCTTTTAAAAATACGGCTCAATGCGTTACTGAAGCAAACTGTTATACTCTTGTTGCACCCTAGAGCGGAGTATAAAAAATTGGCCCATCTCTAGAACGGGGTATCAGTTTTAGGGCGAATTCTAGAACGGGGTATAAAAAATTGGCCCATTTCTACAACGGGGTATCAATTTTAGGGCAATTTTTTTTTAGAACGGGGTGCCAATTTGGAGTCCCGGGCGGCACATACCCAGCCCCAAAATACCCAAGTGCCCCCCCGGATATTGGGTAAGTTGGCCCGAGGTCGTGGCAATACGGACCGCAGGAGGTCCGTGCATGAACTACCGACAGCCAACACGACCCTATTGTTGGTTTTCACATGACGTCACCAAAAATCATACTAAAAAGCTATCGATCTTACCGAGATTTTACTTTCACGATGCATTTGAGCAGCTGAAAACTAATTTTCATTCAAATTTTCGCCTTAAAAGAGTTCTTGGTTTTGTGATAGAGTACGCTTGCGTTTCTAAGCTTTTGCGTGACGGGGCATTTACATGACAGCCTAGAGAGCTGCCATGTAGGTTAAAAAAATGACATATTTCAGGAAATTTTGCAACCTAAACAGTTCATCTATTAGAAAAAGAATAACTTTAATGTTTATGAGTTTTTTGAAGAATAAATTCGCGGCTTTTGTAGCAAAACTTCGTAACAGATGTTTCTGTTGGTTTCCGTGCGACATGTTGGAGCTCATCCAGGTGAGCACCAGCATGGCGTCTCCATACAAATCTCTATAAGTTTGGGTTATACATTTCTTCGGATATCTCGTATACGAAATATTCCTCTGACCTGAATCTTGGCGAGTGTCTTTGTATATGTACCTCCTTTCACTTCCCAGATTCTGGAGTTTATCTATTAAAACGGTTTTGATTTTTTTTATCTATTTTGAATGGCGTGACACTGAAAATTAATTAATAAGTAGAGAGATAAGTTTAGAGATTTTTACCTACCACAGTCAGAGCTGATTTTTATTTTAAAATCCTTTTACCTTTTTTCATCTTCGTGTTAGTCTTCTACGGTTCTCGCGGAAAGACACTTTTTGAGGAGATAGAAGTTCACTTGCGTGCTGCCAAGATTATCCTTGGTTTAGACAGGTTCAGTTCCAGCGACAAGGGGATAGCTCATGCGAATTGGTTTCCGTTGAATAGACTCTAAAGTTATTACTGTTAACCCATAAATGTTTTTACGAAACTGTTCCTGAAACTTTCCAGATGATTTTATAAAAAGCACGACTGCAATTATAATTTACGAAGAAAGCTTAATACGTTTATTTGAGACACATTTTGCCAAGACAGAGCTACTATTTAAGAGCGACTGGCTGTAAATATCGACCAAAATCGACTTTTTATGGCACAAGTTCAAAATTCGAATTTCGCTCATTTTTGGCTCATCGATAATCCTCATCCTCATCCTTAATGAGTAATGAAACATGCTGTAGTTAGTTTTCTCAAATAACGTGTTCTTTTGTTAAAATTCGAGAAAACTCATTTTGCCCATATGGAGCTCAAAATCCACCTCCGGTAAAACGAAATTTTACACAAATGTCATTGACGTCAAACCACGACGATTTGACAGCCTTTGAAAACCACGAATAGTTTTTTGACCCTTTCTTTCTTATAAGACAATAAATTTGTGAAAGCTGTGATAATTTTGTGGCCAAAAAGGTATTGTTAAAAATAGGCCCTATTGACAATTTCTACCGTTCAAAATTATAGGGATAAAATAATGCAAATTTTTACAATACGGCCCCAATCTATCAAAATCGAGACAAATCTTTGGGCAAACGATTTTTAGTAGCCCGCAAGACCTCGAGTTCAACCCTAATTTTGCGAAAAATAGCGACATTCCAGTGGTTAAAAATAGTGTTACACGGCCCGTCACGCCAACGGTGTTAACGACAGATACACTTAAAACATTCTATTCAACGTTGATCACATGCCAAATTCCAGCATACAATCTAATAATAATAATAATAATAATAATAATAATAATAATAATGTCTTTATTAAAAAGCATCCGATAAAATTACATATCTGATGTTACAGCAAAAATATGAAAATATATATCGATAGAAAAAATTACAATGACAAGATGAATAAAAAAGATTAAATTGATTAAAAATACATATGGGGTATTTACACAGCTAGATTATATTTAAAAATTAATCTATTAAAAAAGCTATCTTTGAAACGTTCAGTGTTAATGCTGGGCCTGACAACGGATATCCTTCGGAGGTTTACAATACAGTCTTTGTACCTTGGGAGCAAGCTTTTTAGTGGATGGTCATCGCGTTTGAGGTTATAAAAAACGCGTCTGTCGCTTTTCTCCAAAAGTTCATATATGTTGTAATTGACCGACGTATAACGCCTCTTATAACATCTTTTTAAAAACCTTTGTATAACAGTAAGTTCGGAAACACTTACAGCATAAACTGAAAGACCGTATAATAACTTAGGGATCACAACTGAATTAAAGAGGTGGTCTATTTCATCTTGTGTATATCCTTCTTTACGTAGGCTTCTGATGACAAATAAACACTTGTTGGCTTCATGGAGCTTGGCCTTGACATGCAAGCCAAACTTACAATTACCTTGAATTGTGACGGCTAATAAAGAAATGTTATTATATTGTTTGATATTGTGAGACATTGGGTAGACTGTTGAATTGCCTCTCTTACGCATAATTAGCTCCTTACATTTACTAGTGTTACAATGCATGTCATTTGCAACAGTCCAATCCATAAACTTGGACAAGGCAATATCAGATATATCCGGGGAATCTTTAGTAATCGTGACTAAGACGGTTGAATCGTCTGCATATTTAAACAAGGATATATCTTTGTATCCATCTATCTCTAGGTCATTCAAAAATATGTTGAAAAGATATGGGCCAACTGACACTTCCCTGTGTTGTTCCCTTGTTAACAATTTTCCACTGGCATGTCAAATTATTAAAAATCACCCTTTCAATACACTTTTTAAGAAGAGTCATTTTGTTTGGATACAATGTATAGTGCAGAATTACCCAAAAGTCGGCTTTTTTGAGCGACGTCGGCAAGACGTCGACGACCGAGCCCAACGGAAACAGACTTTATAAGCAAGTACAGTGGTGTGTTATATTAATTTAAGCATCCGTCAACAGGCATAAATACATTAAATTTAAGACGGGGACAACCAATATGACGCCAGTGCATTTGAGAATTTACAATAATAAATGAGATTTTTCTGAAACCAGAATTTACATCTTAATTCTCGGTTCAGGCAGCTTTTGCACTGGACTTTTGGGTCACATGCTTACTGCCTCAAGTCAGAAAATAATATAAGTTGAGTTTTTAATGCCCGCGTTATAAAGCCTCTCAGTGATGAGATCCAGAATTGCAGCTTAAAATGAAGCTACATCATATTCTTTGACCTCTTTTGAAGCCCCGCCGCCAGAGCGCCCCGAAGAGCTTGCTCGCAGGCTACGTTGAAATTAAAAACTGCTATAACTTCGGGAACTTCGGGAGGATGCCGACAACAATAGAAGTTACAATCTTGGACAAAATAACATGGGTCAACAAACCCCCATCCTCCCGAAAAGCCAAAACCGCGCTACTTTTCCTACCGTAATTTGGAGGGAGAGTTTGGCGGGGGACGTAAAATTATCATCTTCATTTGCCCATCATTGTAAACTTAATATTGTAAATTTGGTACTTGTTATGTCCATAAATTTCATCAAAGATTGTAGTCTTAAAAGTAATCTGCTTACATAGTAAATATCTGCAAACGTTTCTACTTCACGAAATCAATCGCGCATGCTTATGTTTGGCATTATAAATAACGATTCTAAATTCTGTTCAGCCCTCAATCATTTAGTCATTTAGTCGTGATAAAAGTAGTCTAAAAAAATATATTTCTTGTACGACTGGTCGCGAAAAAGAGTTCAGAACAAAATGGTCTGTTTTTTCGTCTCTTTTAAATACGGTATGAAATTCTGTTTACTTAACTGATTGCGCTCCCATTTAATTTTAGTTAGTAAAATGATATCAAGGCAGAAAATGCCTCATCACGGTAGTAAAAAATATCAAGGTAGAAAATGTTTTATCACGGTAGCACACTGGAACCTCAATATAACGAAGGGCCAAGGGACTGGCAAATTTGTTCGCTGTAACGACGTTTCGTTATATCGAGGTCTTTTTTCTTATATTTGACTGTCACTAGGGTTAAAAATATCGTTCGTCATCGAGTTTCCACTGTAAAATGATATCAAGGTAGAAAATGTTTTATCACGGTAGTAAAATGATATCAAGGTAGAAAATATTCCATCATGGTAGTAAAATGATATCAAGGTAGAAAATGTTTTATCTAAAATGATATCAAGGTAGAGAATGTTTTATCACGGTAGTAAAATGATATCAAGGTAGAGAATATTTCATCACGGTAGTAAAATGATATCAAGGTAGAAAATGTTCCACAACGGTAGTAATATGATATCACGAAAATTTTCCATCACGGTAGTGAAATGCGGTGAGGGTAAAAGGCGGAATGAATTTGCGGAATGGCATGTGGCATGACATAATTATGCGGTATTTAATTTATGGAAAATGACGCAAAGAAAAAAAATTCAACAGGAAAACATGCGCGCATCTCTGCCGCGCCGTTTTTGGCGCCAATTTGAGCGAGCAATCGATTTGCCGGTCCATTTATTACTGCTATTAAAGCAAAGCTAAAATTGAAACACAGCTGATACACTAATACTAGACATAACTCGTTTCCAAAATAAACTGAAACTGTTCTTTACTCACGTCTCTTTTCCAGTGAAGCGCAGTGAAAGTACGAAAACTTGTCAAGTCTACGAAACGGTCTTCTATTAAGTTTTTGCTCTCCTCATTACATAGAAAAACGTCGCAACGGTGGACGAGGTAAAATAGAAAGGAAGAGAGAGGATCGTGGGATCGAGGCTGTTAGGAAATGGCAGACTCGGTAGTCCCAAATGAAATAAAGAAATAAGCCTCGTATAAATACGTGCAGACGTACTGTGTCGCAAATCTGTCTGGGTTTTTAGGACGGTATATAACCTGTGCTACTTGGTAACGCTAGAGGGTAAAAAACGCTCGCTGAACGTGGAGTCAGGCTAGCAACAATTCTAGGGATTTCAAATACGGTGAACGAATCAGATCATATTTGAGACTAAATGAACGCCTCAAGTCAAACATTAATCCGTAATCTACAAATCGAATGAAGCGGCGAATTGCTCTCTGCCTCCTTTCGGCCTTTCCGCGTCTCGCCCTTGTTTATTTGAACTAGCCAAGTCATTAATATGTGTTTTTTTTAATGGGTATGTATATTGTCTATTTTTAACAGTTAGTGTGATGCCGAACCGGCTTTACTAACCTAATAAAGGTAAGGTAAAGCGGGTAAAGGAGAAAAAATGCTAAAAGTAGGAACGTGAAGAAAAAGAAAAGAAAGAAAGAAAGGCAAAAAGCACACATACTCGATTGCCAGGATTCGAGCTCGCGCTTCTCGGCCAGCTGTTAGCTTCGCGTTCCTGAAACTTCACCACGCAGCTAAGAAAACAAAATACAAGATAAGTTCGATCTCTGAATATTATGTCACGAACGATCGCGCGACCCACCGTCTGAAAAAGAAACACTTCTCACACGGTTTCAAATGCAAATAAAGGTAAAAAAAAGTGACGGTGATCGTGCAAATATCTTTTGCAGAATAAAATTAAAGCAGAAGAGAGTAGAGGGCTAGTGTGACCTTCCAAAACATCCTTTCTTCAATGGCCTACTTTCGTGATGTAGTATCGGTGCTGCCAGCAGCCCGACTAATAAAGGCAAGTAGGATCTTTGTGGCTGTGCAAAAAGCTAATTGACCGTGAGAAATCAAGGAGTCTTTCCTGGCTTTTTGATTGTCATCGTAGTCAAGTCCGCGCAACATTTATGAAGCGGCTGCTTGTGAATTGATTGGCGCCAAAAAAGGGCGCAATTTTCAGTTTTATTTATTTCTTTAAGTCATTCTGAATATATTACATCCGGCATAATTATGTCATTCCGCAAGCCACGCCACATGCCATTCCGCAAACTCATTCCGGCTTTTACCCTCACCGAGTGAAATGATACCAAGGTAGAAAATGTTAGCCTGAATTTCATCCGATTGCTTCCAGTCGTTTTCTCGTCTCAGTAACTGAGGGAGTAATACCGACTCGAAGTAATCGGATGAAATTCAGACTAAGGAAATGTCACATCACAGTTACTAACGTGATATTAAGGTAGAAAATGTTTATCACGGTAGTAATATGATTTCAAGGTAATTAAAGGTTCCATCACGGAAGTAAAATGATATTAAGGTAAAAATAACAATGGTAGGTGAATTCTACGACAGCAGGAACATTGCATAAGACATGTTTTCACGTGAACAAATAATTGTGAATAAAACGGCGCGCCATATCTAAATCATAGAAAAAACCATTTGTGAGACTTCTGACGTATTTAGAAACATAGGGTCCTTGGGTGCTCCTAGATCCTGTGGTAAATATCTACTTTTTTACATTCAATATTAACTTACCATTTGAATCTCTCCGTTTTACCGGCAGACCGAAGACAAACTTATCTTAATCGAATTAGCAAACATGTCTACTTAAAATTGGCTTTGATACCACTGTGCCGCATGCCAAGTATTTATGTGTCTATTAGGCTCAGCTAGTCGCTTGATGACTTCCAACATAGCATATATGAATCTGAGTCTTTCCATGAATGCAGATACAACTGTCTCAACATTAATCAGTCAAATATTGGGACAATGTAGTTGGTAGTGGAAGTAATGTTGTATAATTATTGCTTAATGTGTTTTGAGGTGATTCAGTGCGAATTTGATTGATCTGAGTCTTTGCAGTCACAGTTAATGGGTCCTGTCTTTTAATTGCAGTTTGAGTTTGCTTGGTATCCATTGAGCTCAAGCTTGATTAACTGTACAATTAGCCACAGTTGGAACAAAAAGATCCACAAGAAAAATACCTTCATAAAAACATGAACGATTCGTCTGGTCACCAGTTAAAAGAAGTACCTACTCTCCTTGGACCTTGGTTTCTGTTCCCTGTTGCTGCCGCTTATATATTAATTGCAGTAGTGGCAGCAGTTGGAAACCTTCTGGTCTGTTTCGCTATACTCACCAACAGAAGTCTTAGAAGCAAGCCATCAAACCTACTGCTGCTGTCCCTGGCTGTCTCAGATCTTCTGACTGCAGTCTTGGCAATGCCATTCGATATAGAGTCGTTACTTCTTCAAGGAGGTTGGAAACATGGTGCTGTTATGTGCCTTGCGTTTCTTACTTCCTACCTCATCACCGTACCCACATCGATTTTGACGCTTTTGGCTATCAGCCTGGATCGCTACCAAAACCTTCGTGATCCTCTGCGCCGCTTTCGCCGCACACAGTTCATGACAAGAACGAAAGCTTTGATTCTGATCGGCATTATCTGGCTGTACTGCATCTTATTTGCTTGTCTCCCTTTCATGGGTTGGCCGTTTATAACGAGAGGAACGAAAAAAGAACTAGAACAATGCTCAATTTCCTTCACTGTGTTATACAACATCTTGAGCAATTTTCTGAACTTTGTTGGGCCGCTGGTAATTACATGCGTGTTAAATATCATGATGTATTGTATTGCTTGCAAGCATAATAAAAGAGGTCTTAGGAATCATGGAAAGAATTCCAAAGAAGACGCAAAGGCCCATGCAAGATCCCTAAAAGCTGCGAGTTCAACCGTCATGTTGGTGGCAGCTTTCTTCTTCTGCTGGCAGCCCTTCTCGTACTTCAGTATTGTCAGTATTCTCTACGGTGAACAGAACTGGGACCCATACCCGAGTAAAGTTTTCTATGTTCTGTTGGTGTTTGGCTACCTTAACTCGGCTCTGAATCCTTTTTTCTTTGCGTTTCGCAACAAACAATTCAAAGCCACGTACGTTAGAATGTTTAACGTGTTTAAACGCTGCATTTCAAGAGTGCACGACTTCGTTGTGTCACCTAGCTTCTTAAACGACCTTACCTCTGGTGTTCCCGAAGCCGAGAACAAAAATGTTCGCTTGCAAGCATTCAGAAGCAAACGATCAACACCAGACCCACCCAGACATCAAAGCACATCAACATAAAATTTTTAAGGGAGGATTATTTTGCACAAATAATGAAACGATCTTCAACTTTCTGTTAGAAATATTATTTTCGTGTTAGCTTTAAAAACGCTCATAACTTTGTTTCAGGAGGCGTCTCCTAGCTAATTTATTGGGTTTTTTTTTTTTTTTTTTTTTTTTTTTTTTTAAGTGGGGTTTTAAGGAATATTTAGTCATCGTTTTTAGAATTTTTGAATAAGGATATACACAACGCATAGCACTCTCTATTTCAATTTTGTCCGACTATTAAAAAAATGAAAAACTGTTGAAGTCTCAACGTTTCACGCGCCGTTAGTCAGGTAATTATGCGAGTTCACAAGCCCAAAGTTGAATACAAATTAGCTCTACAGGAAAAACCTTAAGGGAGCATCTTGACGTATTATTATAAAACAAATAACTTAACAAGGATCAATTGATTAAAAACGCGACTAATAATTTCTAGCAATAAAATCAGACACGAGATACCGTCTTAAACAAAAAAAGTCTTATACACAACGATTTGAAAGAAAGTCTATTAAAATAGTCAAAGAAATCAAGCTATCTTTTTTTACCACGAACTGACAAAATTTGTTCGCTATAACGAGAGTTCGTTATATTGAGGTTCTTTTCCATATATTTTACTAAGTGAAAACAACAACTAAATGCTGCTAATTGGAGAAAAAATTTATGGTTCGGCGAACTACAGCTATAAAAGTGTTTGCACTTTTTTTGGTATATAATCACAATTGACAACTATTGTTTGTAACAGTAAAGTGCAAACATAATCAATGAAATAGAAAATTACAAGTAGCAATGTCATTAAGGATGCAGTTCATGAGAATTAGTAAAGTGATCATGATTTATGATTATTGTATGTGTGGGCATTCAACTTAAAGAACTGAATCCTTGTAAAAAGTACCAATTTTTTACCAGTTAGGCAAGTGTTCATAGTTATTCGTGTACATGCATAAGAAACAAATCCCTATGCAAGAGTGAATCTGGATGAAATGTCCACAAACAAGTTATGTTGAAGGTCATCAGTTTCTCCATTGGTCTCAATTCTAAACATGTATGAGCTTGTTGAGACGGTGCCAGAGCCATAGATTTTTAATTTCCCAGACTGAGACGAGGCAAATGAACACCTTCCCTGTATTACACACATTTCTGGTGAATGTAAAGCTAAGTGCAGGATGGATTGATCTTATGGAAAACCCTACATAAATATAGATCTGCTTGCATGTCGTTTAATTTCTTGAAACAATCTTCATCTGCCAATGGAACAAATGTTTTATTTCTGTGAATATGTCACCTCTGTCTGACTTCTTTGAAAGAGTGAAATTTTATGATTGACCTGTTAAATTTTCCATAACAGCGAAAGGAATTAACGTTCCTGGCATGACAACCATGTCAGGCACTAATATTCTGAGGATATCCGAAATACTATGTTATTTTCGAATAATATAGGAAGAAAAATACAGGGGGCCAGCAATAACAATTTTTTGTCATGTCTGACTTAAAAGACACAGCTGGGTTTATGTATAAGGCTGCTATACATACATTTATTTAACTTGTGAAGGAAACTGAATGAAAATTGTAAGCTTAAACGAAAAATTTTGCCCAGTAAGGATTTTGTTTACAAAATGTAACGCTTCCCTACATGTCACACATTATCGGTGATGTAAACTGTTCATTGTAAAATAAAGTTTACTGTAAAACGGTGAAAAGGCTGATCGGCTGTCCTCAGTCCGTTGCAAAGATACTCCTCGTGTCGATTTTACAGATGGTGTAATTCTTGCTTCCTATCGACGCATCGAAGAAGATAATTTTGACTGTAAACTTGCCTCTCCTTGCGAATTCTATTGACCGAATACTGAAACGTCGGCAGTCGGTGTTCCCTCTCTTCGTCGGTTTCTTTTGCAGTGTAACTGTAGTATTTTGTTGCTAACTCTAGCGAACTCTTTACATATTCGTGGTCGCTGTATAACCTCTGTCTCCAGTTGACAGTGTTTGTCTTCGATGTGCCGTTACTCGCGCTGAATTTAAAGTCGACGTCCTCGTTCTTGCTTTTTGTTTGTAAATCTTTCCCAGCGAGGATTTCCAGCCATTTGTTGAATCCACCGTTGTTGAGTTTGCTGTTCTGTTTTATTTACCTGAGATATTGGGTGGTGACTCACCGACCGTAAACATTGTTATAAAACCCGTCTTCAAGAAGAAGTGGGCGTAGTTACTAAAACATGGAACGACCTAAAACGACCTAAAACCATCTACAACCACCTAAAACCACCTACAACCACCTCAAAAAATTCAACAACCACCTACAACCATCAACAACCACTCGCAAACAATCTAAAACCATCTAAAACAGGGTATAAATGTCTGAAATAGTTGCACACAAATGTATGTAGTCCCGCAGAATCCTTTAGTCTAGTGTGAACGTGTCTCACTTGTAGAGCCTGATTTTATACAGCTATTAACCCGTTTACAGTTGCAAGAGTTAGAAAACATTATATAATGATATTTGATAATTCTTTTCAGCAAAATGAATCAAAACGTTCTTACCAGTAACATCCCTTGGTGGGGAGGGAAGACCCGAATATGTGATCCAAATTTTTCGTTCCGTTTTAGGTCGTAAAGTTCCAGCTACTCTAGCCTGTGCCAGGCTCTCAGATAGTATAGTGGGGACGTATTTACAACAAGCAAAGCGCAAATAAGAAGCGCGCATATCCCATCACCCCCAAGAAGAGGGCCGGGGTGAAAGTTGGGTTCCAAAACATAATAAAGGTATATAAAAATCCAGGTAAATTACTTTAAATACAATCATTCACTATTAAAATTTTTCAACCCATTTTTATTAATTTCGGCTCTTCTTAACTTGTTTTCTTCTGAATCCATTGCATTATAGATTTTTTTAAATAACATTTTTAACAATGATTACACCCACTAGTCTCCATTTCCTGTGTCGTGACGCAAGGGAGTTTAGCCTTGCGTGATGACACAGGAATCAGGTGTGAAAGACACTAGGGTTCATCTAAAGGAGTCACCTGGAATGTACAAACATGTTTGGCGGATGAGATGCTAAAAAAGTTAACTTGTTCTTAGGAATGTAATCCGCCACCTCAGAACAAAACAGCAGTGAAGCAGACTCCGAGAGAGAGAGAAACCCTACCTTGTGCCATTGCGTAAACAAATGAAACGTGAACCAAAACGTCTCACGTCTTTCGACTACGAGTTTGTTATTTTATTTTATTATTTTTTGTGACTTGACAGTTCATTTTGTAAAGTTCTTTACACTCTTTTTTTTTTTATAAGAATATTGTTTTTCCGGCCCAGGCTGAATATTCTTATTTTTCTGCCGATTTTAGGCTGAAAATATTCTTGTATTATTCTTAAATTAAAGCTTATGACATTTTCGTTTTGGAATTTATTGGGGTATATGTATATATACTAGGGTATCTAAAAGATAGTAATGCTGCGGCACATTCTGTTGATACTGGCATTAGTTAGGCAGTGGGACTTAAAAGAATCGAAAATGACATTGAATGTCCTATTTACATGTTGGAAAGCACTAGAATAATTACTATCAGTCTATAGAAAGAACTCGTGGGAACGTTGTTTAGAAAATGACCAAGTGGTTATCAACTCTGGTTTTCCCACAGTAAATTGTAGGAAATAATAGAAATTCAGATTGTTTATCCATATATTTAATATACGGTGTACTATCTTTTCTCTGGAAACACGATACTTTTCTTGCTCTTTATTGCACTTTATTAAGTAACAGTTATTTAGCTATATTTTTATAGAAAACAACAACACAAAAAACGGAAAGAAAAAAAGAAAGAAGGAAAAAAGGAATTTGGTCGGACTCGAACCCGGCACCATCGGCTTGACGCGACTACACCTAACCACTACACTACAGAGACTGGTTACGCAATATTGGAAAAAGTCTTTAATTTAATCCCTTTTCCATGAAACCTTCGTCGGCAAGATGATCGCCAGCCGCATTAATCGAGCTATTAACAGTGAAAAAACAATGCAAACGCATATTCCATGGCAATGAATGAATGAAAGAACATAATTATGCTTTTCAAAACGCCGATACACGTCCTCGTCTACAACGTAGGACACAAAACATATGTTTTGTTATCTCGATTTCCCCTACGGTTATTTTGAAGCGAATGGTCAAAATCACATCCATTTTCGGCTCATACAAGTTCTTAAGAGTAGCATGGCATGACATTTTCTCACTTTCACATCACCTTCTAGCAAGCTGGAATTTGTATATCCCCCGTGTTGCGGAGTCGAAGAGCAAATGCTCATCTTCTCGTCAGGTTTAATACCGGGACGAGTCAAAGGCTCTTGAATTGAAATCCAATCCCCAAGTTAACCATCGTACTCATCTGAAAGACTCCTGCGTGTCTTAAATTTGGTAAGACCTGTAACCGTGCTGTAGAAAATTCGCTACGAAGAAAACTCTGAGTCTGGGCAGCGAACGAAGCGAACTTCCCCGTGTTTATATTTGAGTTGTTCGTGGCGCAATGCACTCTGGTTAAATGCAATGCATTGTGGTAAAAAGTGTGATTAAATGCAATGCATTGTGGTAAAAAGTGATGAATTCGAGAATTCGTCGCCCCTTTTATATATTTCCCTTAAATCCTGATTATGTTGCTGCTCGCTCCCTGCGGTCGCTCCGCAGCAATTACATGTACCGTTCATCGAAATGACATTAGCGTTGAACATTTTGCTATAGCTAGTGCAGGTTTTTTCGTTTTGTTGGCTAGTTTCGCCGTTCAGAGAAAGGAATAATTTTATACGGTTAAGTTAAAAACATAAAATTGTATTGTATTTACAGATGTTTCAACACACAAAATTATATCTATCCTTTTCAAAATCTCAGCCTTGGCTTTATTCTTAAAATATTCTTAATATTTCGCAAATTTCAGCCTCGATATTCTTATAAAATATATTCTTATAAAAAAAGAGTGTAAGTCTTTTAATATACTTAGCATGATCTCGCATTTCATTTCGTGACTTAAGCCAATGGTTGATGATACAAGGGACCAGGGAGAGTAAGATTTTAGGGGGAAGTGGATGTTTTGTTCGATTCTCGTATTTCATGTTCGTGACATGTTGTCGTCTCGCCTTATTTCAGACATTTATACCTTGTTTTAGATGGTTTTAGATTGTTTGCGAGTGGTTGTAGATGTTTTTGAGGTGGTTGTAGATGGTTGTAGGTGGTTGTTGAATTTTTTGAGGTGGTTGTAGGTAGTTTTAGATGGTTGTAGATGGTTTTAGGTGGTTTTAGGTCGTTCCATGTTTTAGTAACTACAGAGCTTTGTGGTCGATGGCAATCGGTTGCCTGGAAACCCATAGTGCACTTTGACGTCACTACAGGATGACGTCAAGGCGGACACCAACCAAACTCGATAGATTTATAGCCAAGAGGAAATCACGCTAGCCTTGCGATGCTTGAGTGACACACGCGCGCTTCGCGCGCGACGAGATTATAAACCTCGCGGCTCGGCGCTCCGCGCCTCGCTTCGCGAGGAATTACTGGTCAAAGAAAATCGTTTCGGGCAGCCCACGTTGTCGAATCGTTGTCGAAATCGCTCAAATCCATTGTTTACTGGTTTGATTCGCTTGGCAAATTTTCCTCCCCCTTTTTGTTCAAAGTTCCTTTAACCTAGGTTCATAATTGTATAAATAAAATGTTCATCATACTCTGTCGCCTGAAGGTTGTATCTTTTCCATTCAAATAGTCCAGTAAAAATAATGTTCAAGTTTAAACATAATATCTTTCAAGTGAATTAAACTTATCTTTGCTGAAGTCCGCTGTCAGCTACTGTTTTTCCCAGATGTCATTTCAATCATCTTTTCCTACTAATAACGTGCATATGACAATTCACCGGCCTAGGTTTGTTACAATTGGGATATAGTTTTGAGGAGCTTACTATCTCGTTTTATTTCGACATGCTTTGCCAAAATCAGCCTTAAGTTACATGACTAGCAAAGGAATATATCAAAAATACAAGTTAAAGTGAACACAGTGAATTATAATGAACAACTAACCGACATTGCAGTTGATCAAAAGAAAACAGACTTAGAAACTGTTTGAATTCGAATAAGTGTGTGCCAGACATCGACAATTTTTTTGACAGCGTAACTCATTTTCATGTGCTGAATCAGCACGAGTTACTGAAATAAACAGAATATCCACAGAGTGCTTCCGTTTTCTTTTGCAACGAAAGGGACTTATGTCCACTGATGAGCACTAAAGCAGAGTTAAGTTAAAAAACCAAGATGACTTATAGGAAAGACCTGACTGAAATAACCTTCGGCTCAACCCGGCACTCTCTCGGCAAAATGAAAAAAAAATACACTTCTTAGCTCGCTTTACCAGGTCATCGCTTATCGACCGGGAAGCTACTGCAGTGGAAACAATGTTACTTTACAATAGTACGTATTATTGAGCGATCAGAGGGATGAGCAGCATAAGTTCACATCTTTATGGACTCTTAGCCTAGTGAAGTTTTGAAAAAAGAACCACGTGTCTTTATTTTTTAATCAGAGTAGTTACTAAAAACCTTTTTATCCTGCTTTGAGAGGCTTACTAGGCGAAATTACTTCTAGAAATAATCTTGGCAGAAGATTTTGAGGTAGAAATAGAGTCGTTGAGTGGTTCGCTAAGTCATCCGGCGCTGTTTTTGTTAATTACTATTTTTTAAAGCTCTCTTTTGTGGCATTGAAGATTAATAAAAGTGTCCTAGTATCCTTGTATTTATAAGGTGACATCGTTTAGCTATCAGCTTATCAAAACTGTTACTAAGAATTCGTCCAACCGTCAGCTGTTGGAAGCCGGCTGGAGTAAAAAGCGGCACGCGTTGTATATTAAAGGTTTATAATTTACCTGATGGGAGATCACTCATCAATTTGTCACGTCATGAAAAAAATAATTACTTTTACCGCACCAAAGCAGTTCAGTCATTAAAAACGTTGTCATTTTTTATCTATAATGAAAGCTGAAAGCTGTCCGGAAAACATGAATTACGGTCGATTACAACAGAAACACTTCCGCAGTCATTATGGCGAACCAATGAATTGACAATGAGAGGGATCGATTCAGAGCGAACAAACTTTGTATAATACCCTTCAAAAGTAATAATGACTGGGTTAGTTTAGTAATATTAGGTTCAAGACACCTGTGCTTTCGATTGATCCTAGCTGGTACAAAGGATGCTCTATGAAAACTAGCACATTATCTTACGACAAAAATGTCTGTTTAATATACTCCCTGCAAAGTTTGGCTTTGTTGATGGCTTAGTGTTGTTGGAAATAAGCTTAAATGAAAGTTTCATATCAACCATTTTTTAAAGCTTCAGGTGGCGTCAGTCGCTTACTTGAGTTATAGGGAACATTTTCATTTACACACTGAATGCACTGAAATTAGCGCGCAGTATTTTAACAATAAGCTCGATGCCTTAATTTACAACCAACCAACAACCAATCAACTCAAAGAGTTTGTTTGAATAATAGATGATTGTAACGTGTGTTCAAAGAACTTCTTCCAATAGGCTGCTAAGATATCTTCAGTTGTTTAATAACTAGTCCAGTCGACTCCGATAACTAAAACCTTCAAGGAAGTTCGAGTTATCGGGAGTACGAAGCAAATAACTGCAAAGGAGGAAATGGGAAAGGGGAATGAATGCAAGTAACATGTACACTTCAAAACTTAATAAAAACACAGTGCAGGGCAATGTATTTAAACCGGACTGACAAAAAGGTAATTAACGACATAGAATAGATGGATGTAAAAATAATCTCAATGTTTCGGACTATAGTACACTTTTTTCTAGTTGCCAGGCGCTTAAAGCATGGTTCGAGTTATCGAGGGTAGATTTATATAGGAATGATCTCAACGGAAACAACATTACTTCAAGTTAGGCGGAGGTTTGAGTTATCGATAGGGTTCGAGTTACCAAATAAATGATTTTGACAAGGAAGAGTTGGCTGTTAAAGTAAATACTTTTAGGACCTTTTACGCTTTGAATTTTATGGTAAATGATAGTTTTGCTAATTGGTTTAATGATTTTGACATTTCTATTTTAGTTTGAAAATAGTCGACAAGCACAATTTTACAACACAAAGTAGGTCCAACTTACATGAAGTTTTGCTAAGTCATATAAGTTGATTCGAGAACTGAACACCGAAGGTTCAAACTGAAACTAGCCAAACAAGGTTTTTTTGTCCTCTCGACGACGTATACGTACATGTTCCACTTTTTTTCTCTCAAAAAATTTATTAAACATGTACTTAAATGAACTATGGAACTGTTTTTCTGACTTGAAGTGTAGCCGAATTAATTGCTTCGCTATAACCGGCCATAGTGTTCAGTTCATACTCTTCTCCGCTGTCTTCTTTAGGCTTGTGACATAGAAAAACGCGAACTAGGCGGTCGATTGGACCGGTTACTCTTTCAATTTCATTACTTACAAAATTGATTCATTATTTTTCTCTTCATTTCCATGGTCATTTATGAAGTCTTCCTTTTTTTGTTGACTCCAACAGCTTACCTGAGCGGAAGTTGAGTTACCTGTCTCGGACATCTTAAATGTTTTCGAAAATAGATAGGTTTTCACTTTCTTCCTCGGTGCCTCAATGCCGCTGATGGTCATCAGCTTCTAAAGCTCGGTCTGTTTTTAGTTTGAAATTTATTTTTCTCAAATTTTCCCTGTTATCAAAAACGTAATTAGTTGTGTTTAGAGGTTACAATTTTTCGCGGAGAGCGAGAAAAACAATTATGTGAAAGGACCGTTTCCATGGTAACGGTTTTTAATGTAAAATCCTAACCGTAAAACAGCCAATCATAGTGCTCTATCAAGACTTGCAACTTGCAACTTGCAACTTACTATTCTTCATTTTTTCCTTGCTTTCAGCTTAACCCGAGGAAAAGTATCGCAGGTTGAAGACTAATATAATAAGAGGAGGATCAAAGCACGGGCTGAACTTTTTGACACCTATCAACTTGGCATCATCCGGTTTTTTTAAGAACTCTCGCCAACATCACAGCTCGAAAAAACACGACGTGGAAACGTACAGCTAAATATCAGGACGATCAGGTTAACCATGAGCAACAGTTCTGAACACAACTCAACCGCTACGGTTTCCAACACGTTCTTCCCTCCCACCTTCATGTATCCAGTGGCGACGTGTCACATCTTAATTGTCGCGGTGGCAGCCCTCGGAAACCTCATAGTTTGTTACGCGATAATCGCTAACAAAAGTCTCCGAAGCAGCCCAACAAATTTGTTCATTTTCTCGTTGGCGTTCTCGGACCTTCTTACTGTAACATTAGCAGTGCCATTTGACGTAGAAGGCCTTTTCCTTAACTGGGCTTGGAAGCATGGAGAAATAATGTGCCACCCACGTCCATTTTAACCCTTTTGGCCGTGAGCGTGGATCGTTACAAGAGCCTTAAAGATCCCTTGAATCGATTTCGCCGCTTCCGATTTATGACACGAAAGAGAGCTTTAATTGTTATTTCTGTCATCTGGCTTTACAGCCTGGTTTTTGTTTTAATTCCCGTCATAGGCTGGAGAAAATATGACGAGTTTGTTTATGAGGGAATCTGTTACTTTCCCCTCACTGAAATTTATTCCACTCTCGGTTCTTGTCTAAATTCCATATTTCCACTACTGGTAACGTGCGGTATCTATGTTAAGATTTACCTCATAGCGAGGTCTCCAAGCAGCACTTTTGATAAAGAGATCTCACGACAAATGCCTACGACAGAAGCCTATTCACGACAAATGCGTTCTACTATAGAAAAGAAAATCTATTTAAGGAACATTCGAGCGGCCAAGACTACCTCCATCTTTGTAGCCGTGTTTTTCTTTTGCTGGGTTACTCACTCTTCCATCGGCATCACAGCCAATCTCTGTCAATCATGCCGAGCTAAAATCCCCGATGAAGTTCGTGTTCTAGTTTTGATATTTGGTTACCTAAACTCTGCACTCAACCCATTTCTTTTCCCTTTTCGAGACAGGAGATTTAAGAAGACTTTTTCAGCTTTGAAATGCAGGAACAAATCACCCGACAAAACAACCAAGAGGAGCTGAAAACATGAAGCCGGTTCTCTCAGCTAACGGAAGCACCTCAAGTCACCTCGGCTTGGGTAGATCCTTTAGTTAACTATCAAGAAACACAGTATTCATGTTGGATTTACTCCTGGTTATAAATTGAGTTCGGAAACCGTTTTCGTGGCTTAATTTCTTGCTCATCGTGATTTGTACACAAATGACTCTCTGTGGTTGACTTGCATTGTTGCCTTTTTAATGCTCAACGAAGCAGGTCCTTTTAATGGACAAAATCGTCTTTTCCGAGCACTCTCCTACCTCTCCTACGGCACTTGGTATTGTACGCCACGTGAACGCCCTTTTCCTGCTTTGAGGCGTCTCAAATTGTTGGACCGTCTGCAATGAATGAGAAACGCGGCTTGAGTGGCCAAGGGATGCTCCTCATTCATCGTGGGACGAATTACAGACCGGAATCTGAGGTCATTTACAAAATAAATAAAAACTGGCGCAAGTGACTGTGCCAGGCTTCTTTTTAACTGGATTCCTTGAAAAAGTATTTATATTGTTGATTCTATGCCATAATAACGAGGTTTTCGGAAGGAAATCACGTTGGAGACATCCTAGACTGCTTTGGTCAGATATTGATGCATCAATAGTTTACAAGACCTTTAGCTCTAAAAATACTTATTTTTTTAACGCTGACTGTTTAACGTTTCATTAGCATTAATTGCATGCCTCTGTATTCATTTCAAAGTTTCCTGAAAGAACATTTAATTGCTCCCGGACCTCGCTTTATTGCGCCCCAGTCAAAAATTTTCTCGTGCTCCATGAACCAAAGATAAAAAGATAGTGCATTAGCCTTGTCCTGATGAAGGGTTCGTTGTCACAAGAAGTAACACGACCAGATGCAACCAGGGGCCAATTTGATAAAAATTTTGAGTGTGATTTTACTTTTAGCAATTTAAACAATTGAATGTTGATCATCTGGTTGATCATAAAGTGTGTGAAAGACAAGGGAAATCTGACAGTTCCCAAAAGGGGTGACAGATTCATTTTTTGACAGTGAAATCGTCGAGTAAACGTTCTGTTTTTTGATTTATTCATATTTTAAAGACAGTTCATTTACAGCAGTCAAAAGGTATGCAAAGGTCTAAACTAGGTTTGTAAAAGAGGTAAAAGAGGTACCATTTGTCAATACAAAGGTTTACGAAAGGGTTACCTTTTGTGTCAAAAATGACATATACAAGGGTCTGGGCGGAGTCTCTGCTTATTAACCTTTGTTGATTACCCAACCCGGGGCGAATATAAAGCCCACCCCCTCTTTTTTTAACGAAAATAGCTTTTTGACCCATGTCTTACTTGTGTTCCTTTACATATGATGAATTTTGTTGTATCACTTTCAAAGTGAGAGCCTGTTACGGCTTTTAGGGATAAGGGATATTCAGTGTAGAAATATTTCAAGGGACAAGGGTAATTGACAAAAATAATAGTTTTGGGGATAGGGGATAAGTGAAATGCTTTGGCCGTAATGAAATTATGTCACGGCTCTACATTAATTATAATCGATTCGCAAACGCTTTAAACTCTGAAGAAATATATTCAAACCTCATGAGGTCATCCGTTTAGAGCAATTTAACTGGTTATAGGATCACAGGTTATAACGTGAGAATATCTACGCCATCATGAAAAAGTTATTTAATGTTATATTGACGTAACCCACGAGGCCACTGCTGGGTGGTTGCTATGCAAATATTGAAGTAAAGTAATGAATAAAGAACAATAATAAAAAATAACAAGTAAATAAAAACCAAATAGAATCATGATGTCAGTTGCTTTGACTACTACTTTCAGCAAATGAACTTAATAACTGTTTTCACTCCTGCTGTGTTCAACAATCCATATTAAACTTATTCTGTTTTAAGATCCGAACAGACCCATTACAACTGCTTTTTGTAAGCCAATTCATATCGAGAAAAAGTAGTCCCTTCTTGGCCGGCTAAAGTTAATTGGCTCTTATAAGGCGCAATAGTTTTTGATAATTCTGTTGCGACTTTTGAATCTTAATGTAGTGATTTCTGTGGGCCGGGCGCTATGAAAGCACTTAATATCGGGTTTGTTAACTCTCACGCTAGACAGTCTTTAGTTATCGCCGCTGGTTTACAAGCTCAAATAATCGTCTCTTGAAATGGATTTATCCTGAGTTTTTACAATGCACCTCTCCCGTAAACAATTACAATAAGTTTTGTGGCTTTTCAATTACAGTTTTGAATGAACAGGAATGCTCTCACAGCGGTGTCAGTCTCGCCTCAGTTGGAGATTAGATCGAGAAATGAGGAGGCGATTAATTCTACACGAAACAGCATTTACTCGCTGAAGGTTTTATTTCCTACTTTATCAACGTCGATGCTTTTTATTTGTTTTTGAATCGATTTAGTACTCGTGTTAGTGACGACCGGAAATATGTCTGCGGTCGCGGGCTATACGCGCATACATAAGGGACGGACCATTAGAAAAGTTATGGGGGGGGAGGGGAATTTTGGAGCCTCAGGAATTTTTTTTCGTTATCAAATTCCTTGTGTGAATTTTTTTTAGGCCATAGCATGAATATTTTTTAGGGTTAATTGGCGTGCATGAATTTTTTTTCATTTAATTTTGCCTTGCACGAATATTTTTGTTCACTTCGTACTTCATGATGGCCCCCAGTGATAATAAGTTTTCTAATAGTCCGTCCCTAAATACACGAAAATTCAAGGGCCTCGATTCCAGAGAAATTACATCATTGCCAGAGATCAAAAAAGTGATTTACATGGCACGTCATTTCAATCATCGCCGAAAATAAACCGCATGCTCATCACAAGATTAATTTGCGTACAATGAAAGTTTAAAACGCCCGACCATCGCAGTTTTGCTAATTAAGATTCTTATTTTTTTCAACCACTCACGATCAGTAGTGTTCACTTGCTCCAAAGTAATTAACGCTTTCAAGGGATAGAATTCGTGACCCGACACGTTTCGGAAATCTTTCCTGAGCGTTCTTCGCGAAGCATGCGTGGCTTCGATCACGCAACGATTCTTAGTCCCAGTTTCCACGGTCTCCTCTAGGAACGCCTGGCACAATGATCACCCTTTTGTGTCCTAAATACGAAGAAAAAAGCGTTGCAGATTATGAGTCTCGCTGCCTGCGCAAGCGTGGCTAATGAATGAATAACTTTAATTAAACACGGTCAACTCATCAGAACTTAAAAACACTATTTCTAATACGAATCTAAAACTACTATAATACATTAACATTATTCAAAAAACAAACTTACTTAGACCAGAGCCTGGTTCACGTAAGAGCCATGTAGATGGACTTTTAGAAGAATTGTTTATAGTCAACCCTAAAGGCTCTAATGCCGCAGCTCAATGGGAAGGCTATTTATTATGACGTTTTGAATTATTTAAAAACCAGTCGATTCAAAACGTATTTTGATAAGAACTGCTATAACTTGTTCCGAAACGTTTTTCTACCCCGCAGTGTACAGTAACCCCTTCTATCTATAAGCCCTCCTGAAACCCCTTACGAAGATGTATGCGACAATTAATGGTAAGCGGAATAAAAAGATTTCCCTACTCTGAACAGGGCCAGTCCAAAGTGTATGATGACTTTTTTCTATCGTTAATACTGAACATAGCCTGCGGACACAGACGTATAAAATGACGTCAAATACCGTGTTGTTCAACCCACCTAAAGGAAAAAGTCAAGAACACAATTAGGTTAAACTAGAATTAACAACAATTATGAATAAGCCAGAAAAAATGAAAATATTACTATAATTTAGATCTCTTCCTGAGGACATCTTACATTTAACTTTAAATGCACTTCTTCCAAGTTTGATGAAATTCTTGAATTCTCAAACCCTTTCGCCTTTCTGCTCTTCAATTTGAGATCCGTGCACCCTTAAAACAGTGTAAGATCTATGAAATTTCTCTCGAATATTGCTCCGACGCTCAAGCAACTGAAAAAGACGCATAGCATTTTTGTATGGGCAGACTTCGTGTAGCCTGTTCCAGGCGTTCAGTTAGTGGGGAGCGGTGCTAAGTAAAAAGGAACGCGAAAAAATAAAAACAAGGGAGGGGAAGTTCCCCGTCTACTTTCCATCGCTTTCTCTACTTCGCACCTTTCCCCGCTCTCTGAACGCCTTCTGGAACAGGCTAGACTTCGTGGAAAGACATTCTTCAGAAGCTTTCGTACTTGCTCCTTTCTCTGGTTCTAAATTCGTGCACGACGGCCAATGCGAATACTGAAGAGAAATAAAAGAAAACACGGAAAAGACATATTCCTCGAAAAAGCCCGTTCTTGACGGATGCTAATCCCGTTAC